ATCCAGCCAAAGTTGAATGCTTAACCAACTGAGCCACCCAGGCACACCCCAGTCCCATCCAGTTGTAAAGGTACTTTATAAACACCCAATAGAGTGTCACAAGGCATTAGCTAGGCTCTGGGCTAAATATTGTGCCTGTGCCTTATTTAATCTTCATAACAATCTTATAAAATAGTCTCATTTTATGATCGCTCACAGAGAAGTGAAAAGTGTCTCGCACAAGTTCAAGGAGCTTCTGAGTGCTAGAGCCCTGATTAATATCCAGGCAGTCAGCCTCCAGCATCTCCACTGTTTAACCACTAGGTATACTGCCACCCAGAGAAGCTTTTGAACCTTTTATGTTAAATAAATCCTATGAATTCAGAGAAAGGAGCTGTTACTGTGGGTTGAAAACATCCACAAAGGCTTTCTGATTCGACCTTGAAGCATGGGTTGAATGGGGATAGGAAGAGGAAAAAGGCAGATATTCACTTTATATACCCTTCTCCTTTGAATCCTCACTTTGAACCTAGAATGGCACAGCTGGTAGGGACCTGAAGATCATCTAGCCCAGGGGTTCTCAAACTCTCTTAGGATTTGGATATTTTTCTTTAGATGAAAGTTAAATAAAGATCTTTCTCTGAGAGAGGACCACTTGTTATTTATTTTGAGAGAGAGAGCCAGAGGGGTAGGGGAGAACGGGAGCAGGGGAGGGGCAGAGAGAGAGAGAGGGAGAGAGAGAAACCCAAGCAGGCTCCTCACTGTCAACACAGAGCCCAAAGCTGGGTTCAGACTCCCCAACCTCATGATCATGACCTGAGCCAAAATCAAGAGTCAGATGCTTAACTGACTGAGCCACCCAGGTGCCCCCGGAGGCAACATTTTAAACAGCATGTAATCAGCAGGCCTTCTGCTGCTGCCTGTTGTCTATTTTCCCTCCCGTCTTGCCACTGAATCACTGGGAGGTGCAGATGGGCCACAGAGAGTGAATGCAAAGAGTGGGGCTTTGAACTACTGTACGTGAGAATGGATGCAGTGTTAGTTGGATGGGGTCTTGACAAGAGCTGAACACTTTGGGATTAGAGCATGAATGTCCGTCTTCCTTCCCTATGTCCTTCACTACCTCGTGGTCTCCAGGAAACCCATCGGGCACTGTAAATCCCTATGGGGTCTTGTCTTACAGGCAAAGGGGTGGGCAGTACCTTTCTCACTGTCACATCTACCTTCCCTAGATACATGCAGGTGAAATTTGTCTGTATTCGGACCCAGTCGAACAGGAAGAGAACATCAGAGGCAGACATGTGCCCAGCATACTTGCTCCTACGGTACAATGAGAAACTGGATAGACTCTTTATTAGTGAACTCAACACCCAGCATGTCCATGTTGATTCCAAAACTGCAGGACCTAGAGGAGACACTGCTGGCAAACCTCAAAAGACAATGTGCCTGCAGAAAGCCCAGCCTGAGCCGCCTGCGATCAAGAAAGGCCTTGACCTAGCCAAGAAGTCCCCCGTTGAACCATCATTTTGCTTAGATAAGGCCCAAGCACCTTCAAAGCCAGAGCAGGAAGGCATCACTCCTTCTGACCTTGCCAAGATAGCAAAAGTGATGAAAAACTTTCTTAAGGTGGATGAGGGTTCCATGGCCTCTCTCAGCGTGGGCAACAGCCAAGACCTGGACCGGCTCAGCTTCCAGAGCAGCAAGATGAGCGATCTGTTCCTCCGCTTCCCAGAGAATCTCTTGCTACACCGGGTGGAGAACGCCCAGGGCCACATCCTCTATGCTTTCTTGGTGGAGAACAAGGAACGAGAGGGGCGAGTGGTACACTTTGCTGTGCTCAAGGCCGAGACCGCTGCCTCCGTGGCCAAGATGCTGAGTATCTTCACAGAGTTCAACTCAGACTGGCCCAAGGTCAAGGTGGTCTTTGTGGACCCGTCCTTTCCTCATCGAGCCATCCTGCAGGAGATCTTCCCTGCTGCCCGCATCCTCCTGTCCATCTACCACACCACCCGGCTCTTGGAGAAGAAGCTGCAGCGTAGTTCAGCAAATCCGTCCTTTAAAAGGCTCATGAAGGAAGCCCTGCGGGAGGCTGTGTTTGTCACTTCTGACGCCAGCCTGCAAAATCTCTGTCACATGTCCCAGGCCCTACTGGATAAGGAGCTCTTCAGCTTTCTGCAGGCTCACTGGTTCTCCTGTGAGCTGCTGTGGTACATGCACGTTAGGAAAGGCCTGCACGCGTGTAACACCTACATGGACAGCCTAGACGTTGTCACCAGCAAGGTGTCCAGCCTCTTTCGGGAACAGCAGTCTCTGCTGGACTGCATCCTTCGCTTTGTGGATTATATGGACTTCTTTAATACCAAAGGCTTGAAAAACTTGCCCACGGCTCCTCCCAGGTTAAAAAGAGCCCGGCCGGCCAACATGCCACCAAAGTCAAAGAAGGCATTTGGAGTCCGTGGGGGGAGCCTCACCAGGCTCCCTGTGGAAGAGACAAAGCCAGAGCCACAGCGGGGGCCTTTGCAGCAGCCGCCACAGGTGCAGAACTCCCCGGGGGGCATGCTAGACACCTTGCACGGGAGTGGCTCCGACCTGGCCTATAAGTTGTGCCATAATGAGTGGGAGGTGGTACAGAACTCCACCCACCTGGTGGACATGGCTGGCTCCTCTGTGGACATTCAGCTGCTAGAGGATTCTCACCAGGTTAGCAAAGACGGCTGCAGCTGCAGCTGTTCCTTCCAGCAGTGGTACCGCCTGCCCTGCCGCCACATCTTGGCCCTGCTGCACACCAGCCAAAAGCCCGTGGGTGAAGCCATGGTGTGCCGCCGGTGGCAGAAGAGGTACCAGCACCTCCTCGGGCCCAAAGGGGAGCTCCGGGACCCTGTTGTGGTCCCGAACACAGGCCAGCCTGGGGAGCAAGGACGGAGTGACAGGATTCAGGACCTTAGCAGGGAGCTCGCAAACCTGCTAATGCAGAGTGAGGGGCCAGAACTAGAGGAGCGCTGCTCCACCCTGCGCAAGATTGTGGACATCTGGGCCGACCCCTGCCAGCCGCCTGACCCCAGCCAGCAGCCCGAGGACTTCAAGGATGTGGGCCGCCTCCCTTTCCTCTGGGGAAAGCAGGAGGAAGGGGAGGGGCTCCCTCTTGCTGGAGCCACAGTCCATGATTAAGGCACTTGCGCTGGCGCATTGGACCACAGGCCCCTCTGCTTGGAATTCGGAGAACTCAAAGCTGGCAGGACATGCTAGGGGTCAGCATTTTAACCAATGTCTTCCTAGGTAGGACTAGGGAGATTGTTAACAACAGGGAGAAGAGGAACCCCACTGTGTGACAGTCCTTTGAATCCATCCCGTTTCTGCCCTACCTTTGTCATTCCTTGGGAGCCTCGTTAGTTGTCAAGGCCAAAGTTATCTCCGTGCTGAAAGGTCACCCCTCTTTCTGCCCTGACTCCTGAGATCAGATCTTACTTCTGTCAGAGAGATGAACTTCTGCCCCAGGATAGGGCCCAACTAAATATATCTGGTAAAAGGAGCTGTTTTCAGGGACAAAGGGATGGAGGGTGATCCTTGGCTATTGCTGCTCTTCACAAAGAATCTGTTATTTGTACTTATTTTTATTCATATTAAATAAAGGTTTTTTTTAATAAAAATCAATAAGCAGGGGAAACGTGTGCTGGTTGAACAGGTAAGGAATCGAATGGGGGCTGTAAAGCCAAACAGAATCTGATGCCTTAAATTCAAAGACTTAGGAGTCCACCACTGGCTTTATCCCCTTCCTACCAACCAAGCGGTCAACACTGATTTCAGGCTGCCTAGAATTCTAGCAGGAGGAGGCCAAATAGAGGAGGCAGGGAGGTGGTGGGTGGGGTGGGGGGACCTGAACCCTAGACGCCACAGCCTGCACTCGCTGGTGGACTGTGGGCAGGTTTCTGATTACTTTGACCCCAGGTTTCTCATCTGTAAAAATAAGTGTTGGCCTGTTCTAATCCCAATTTACCCTCTAGATTTATACAAACAGAACATTTCCTTCCAGTTTTTTTTCTTTGAAGTGTAGTTATTTATTTTAAGAGAGAGCGAGCGAGCAGGGATGGGGGGGAGGGGAAGTCGGGAGGAGAAAATCCTAAGCAGGTTCCTGGCTCCCAGCGCAGTCCCAGGCAGGGCTTGATCTTAGAAACCGTGAGATCATGACCCCAGCAGAAATCAAGAGTCGGAGCTTAACTGACTGAGCTACCCAGGCACCCCTGTTCCAGTTTTAAGCACCAGCATGGATTTTTGTTGTTGATGCTAGTTGATACTCTTAACCACCTAAAGCTGGGAGCTACCCAGCTTTTCAAGATACCATCTTCAGGGGAACCGAAGTCAAAGAGGTCAAAGATAGCCGTCAGTCTTGCCTCTTGCACCAGGACCTTAAGTCACGGCACCGTTCTGGATCTCTTTCTTCTGCAAAACACTGGAGCGTGTGGGGCTGGGCAACACCAATATTCAGCCCTCCCAAGGAGATCTGGATTTCCTCTCCTCTAGGGGTTGGGTCCCTGACGCCTAATGGAGAAGGCAGAATTTGAGACCTGGGCATCCATCTCCCCATTAGGCAGGAGTCACAGTACATAGGCACAATTTCCTACCCCTCTGGGGCTTTGGAATTTGACAAGAAAAGAAAAAAAAAATCCATAAAGCACTGCAATTTATTTTTCTTTTCATTTGCGGCCTCTGAGGAGTTTCCATAGTAACATGCACTTCCAGAGACTTCTCCCCAGACACGCGGCTCTGGAGTTCCAGCCTCAGGGCTTCGCCTTGCCTGAATGCTAGTATCCTCGGGCTTTTATTGGTCACCGTCAGACGAGCCCCTCGTAACCCTAGGAACAGCACCCGCCCACAAATCGCCGGGCTACGATTGGTCTATGCCCCAAAGATCGAACGCGGGCTCTTCCGGCCATTGGACCGAGTCACGGCGAAGCTGGCGCCGCGGTTGGTGAGCCTAGAGGTCAGTCAGAGTCAGGCAGGGTCAAATAGGGAGAAATGGCGACGGAGCCAGGCAGTGGGTGAGTGGTTTCCGAAGGGGTAGAGGTGTGAGGCAATTGATGACCGCGGTCGGCCTTGACCCAGCCCCGAAAGGGGTGGAAGGTTGACTTCCCTTCTGGCTCCGGCCGGACTCCGAGTGGGAACGTCAGACATCTACATCCTCACCCGGGTTAGAGGTGAGAGGTCAGAGGCTGCGTCCCCTCTCTGGTGTTTGGACCTCAGGTACTGTGGAAAGCAGTCAGGATCCGAAGCCAAAGATTCAGCTTGCGGCTACTTACAGAGTGATGGTGGGCAAGTCACTTAACCTCTTTTCTCAGATAAGAAACCTCAGTTTCTCATCTGCAGAATGGGGCCAAATAGAGGAAACATTTTAACAGAGTACTACAATTATTAATAGAAGGATTTATGGAGAGGCAGGAGAAGCCATGCACATTTGACCGCCCCTGTTCGTAGTTGCAGGGGTTGAGGCTCAGAGTCACTGACTTGCCCAGAATCATACAATTTTGGGGGCAGTCAGTTCTCTTGTATAAACCAGGACCAAATGGGAGAGTGGATGCCGGCAGTAATTTGCAAATATAAAGTACTAAACAAATATTTAAAATGTTATTTAAGAAAAAAAAAGACCATATTGCAGCTCCAGCCTTCACGCCCATTTAAATCTCTTGGAACTGACTCCATGGCGTTTACCAGTTGGTCTCAACTCCAATGTCATCCTCTCTCCCCACCCAGAGAGAGCTTCCCTGGCCACCTTAGCTAAAGTGTCCCTTCCTCCCCCACACCTTACTCTCTACCTGTTTCCCAGTTTTGTGGTCTTTGTAACCTCCATTATTTGTTATATCTTTATTTGTTTACATGTTTATTGTATGTCTCCCCCAGAACAGCAAGCAATACTGTCATAATAATAAGCAGTATTTACATAGTAAGCTATATTGTCTGGATAAATAATTGAAGAGCCAAGGCCCTACTATTGCCTTAAACTTGTGTTCCTCTCCATAGGCCCATCTTTGGAACAAGATCTGGGAACTACGGTCCAGCCTCAGGCTCCAGTTTAGTTGGAGCTTGAAATCCTGAGAGTCTCCTGGACAGCAGCCTTGCTGAGAAAGTATTCTGACCTTGGCATCTAGACATCTCCCACTTCCCCATGGCCCTGACGATGCTGAATGAACTCCTGATTGAGGAACCAAACCCACCTCTGCTGCTGTATCAGGTTAGCAAGACTGCTCAGTTAGATACCCTCAACTACCAGAGCTGCTTTATGCAAGGTGTCTTCGCCTGTTTCCCTGAGATCTTATTTATCCACCGGACCTATAACCCAGTGGGCAAGGTGCTATACACCTTCCTGGTAGATGGACCCCGGGTGCAGCTGGAGGGTCATCTTGCCCGGGCAGTCTACTTTGCCATTCCCGCCAAGGAGGATGCTGAAGGCCTGGCCCAGATGTTCCAAGTGTTTAAGAAGTTTAACCCAGCATGGGAGAGAGTGTGTACCATCCTGGTGGATCCCCACTTCCTCCCCCTGCCCACCCTGGCTATGGAGTTCCCCGCAGCCGAGGTGCTGCTCTCAGCCTTCCACATCTGTAAGTTCCTCCAGGGCAAGTTCTACCAGCTGTCCCTTGAACAGCCCATGGAGAGGGTGCTCCTCACTTCCCTGCAGAGCACCATGTGCTCAGCCACGGCCGGCAACCTGAGGAAGTTGTACACGCTCCTGAGCAGCTGCATCCCTCCGGCCCAGCTGCCCGAGCTCCACTCTCACTGGCTGCTCAATGACCGCATCTGGCTGGCCCACCGCTGGAGAAGCCGGGCTGAGAGCAGCCGCTACTTCCAGGGCCTGGAGGTCACCACCCGCGTCCTCAGCCAGTTCTTTGGCACCACCCCGTGTGTGGAGCAAGGCATGACCTTGCTGCTCCGGTACGTGCAGCAGAACTCTGGAGACAAGGCCAGCTTCAGCCTGGGCCCGAGTCCCCAGAACAGTCACGTCCCCTTAGACGGCAGCCCCGAAAGCCCCAGAGTGGAGCAGTTGGTAGAAGCCCGCATCCAGCACTCCCTCAATGCCATCTGCACGGGGCCAGCGGCCCAGCTCTGTCTGGGTGAGCTTGCTGTGGTCCAGAAATCCGTGCACCTCATTGGCTCCGGCTCAGAAAAGGTGAACATTCAGATCCTGGAGGACACCCATAGGGTGCAGCCCCAGCCCCCTGCCAGCTGCAGCTGCTACTTTAACCAGGCCTTCAACCTGCCCTGCCGCCACATCCTGGCCCTGCTCAGCGCCCGCCATCAGGTGCTCCAGCCCGACATGCTGCCGGCTCAGTGGACAGCGGGCTGTGCCGCCAGTCTAGACAACATCCTGGGCAGCAAGTGGAGTGAGACGCTGGACAAGCACTTGGCCGTGGCGCTCCTCACTGAGGAGGTGAGTCAGCTCTTGCAGCACTGCAGCCAGGAGGAGTTCGAGCGGAGGTACAGCACCCTGCGGGAACTGGCCGACAACTGGATCGGCCCTTATGAGCAGGTCCAACTCTGATTACCCCCGGTGCCCAGGGATGCTCGCACACACGTACACACTCACGCCCAGCCCTACACACACACAACCCACCTGCACTCACACTGTTGTACTTCGGTGGGCCCTCCCTCCAGGAAAGGACAAGACCCTTCTAGCCTACTGCAGGCTGCTACCGAAAATGTGTCTAGTTCCCTCAGACAGCAGTCAGCAAACCTTTTCTGTAAAGGGCCTAGCAGTAAATATTTTAGACTTTGCTGGCCACAGTCTCTGTTGTATATTCTTGGTTTGGTTTTGTGTTGACAGCCTTTTCCAAAGGTTAAAAACCATTCTTCACTCCAGGGCCTTACAAAAACAGGTGACCCCCTGCTCTAGAATGAGACACTGAGTGGAGATCAAGGGCAGGGGCTTGGTAACAGCTTCCCCAGTCATTAGATGACACGCCTGACCCACACAGAAGGTGGATCCAGCCTTTGTCCCCCTCCCCCCACCCAGAAGTCATTAAAGTCAGATGTTGCCTATTCCAGCACTTGTCTAGTTTTTTTGTCTTCTAGAAGGTAGCAGAGCAAATATCGTGGAAAGAAGACTGGAGTCTTTGCTAACACTGCATGCAAATCCTGGTTCTTTGCCTGATTTCTGAGGCCTACTTGTGCCTTTTACTAGCTCTGAGACTTCAGGCAAGTTGCCTTTCAAAAGGCTCCATCTTGTTCATCTGTAAAAATGGAGATCTCACAGCATTGGTAAGAGGAAAGGAGAGCCTGCACGCGATGGGCCGTGCCCAGTGGGAGCTCAGATAACTGCTCATTTCCCTTCCTTGCCTCTGGTCCCATCACCTGCCCTCGGCTGGCTGGGAAATGTAAGGCAAGAGGAACGTTCACATTGCCTAGCACTTTGTACAAGAAATCTTGATCGAATCCCAAAACAGTACAAAAGCGGCCTCCACTCCAGGCCGGGGCCCCTACCTCAGGTAATTTCCATCGTAACTACTCCAATAGATCTATTTCCTGACGTAGCGGTATCTGGAGAAACTTCCTGGGGTCTGGACCCTGATGAAGACTTGCGTTCGTCAGAGTGGCTCAAACGACCACCCTATCCCCATCCTTGCCACAGGCACCCCCAGTCCTGTCTGCCCAAAAACCATACAGAGAAGCCGCCCTATGTGTCTGGTGCTATTTCATCCAGCTACAAGCAGGGGCTAGGAGGCTGGCCTCTCCTGGGTCTCATTAGGGGCATTTGCCCCGAGGCTGTGTGGGCACGGGCCTGCTCCCATCGCGCCCCCTCCCCTGCCCCCTCTGGCTCCGGATGGGCCATCATGAAAGCTTGAGCCGCCCGGATCAGGTCCTCTTCCCGCAGGCCTGGGACTGGCACGGTGGGGATGCCAGCGATCATCATGGCCAGGGTAAGGATGCAGATGTCAGGCTGGGAGCCAGCCTCCTTCCCCCCGGCCTCAGGGGGCATCCGTAAAATCCCCGGTGACAGCCCACGCAGCAGCAGGGGCCCGGGCCTGCCAGGGCCACCCAGGTGGGGAGCGCCGGCCCGGGAGCAGCCGTCCTCCCAGCCCAAGCTCTCCGGCTGCATCACGTGGGGGAGTTTGTGGTTGTGTCGGCCGTACTCCTTGCGCTGCAGGATCTCCCAGCCAGCCCCCCCAGGGCAGCCCCTGGCTTCCGGCACTGCCAGGGCCGGGCCCCAGGCCTGGGCAGCAGGTACCAGCTGCTCAGCTTGCTGGCTCAGTGGGCCTGGTCCACCTGAGGCCACCACCACTGGCTCTATAGGACTATAGAGACCAAGGGATGAGCCCGGAGAGGCAGCCCCACCTGTAGAGACAGGAAGGAGATGGAATGTTATTCTTGGTCTCTCTGAGGAGGCCCTGAGGGGCAGGGCATAGGAGCAGAGCACTGGAAACAGAAGCCCCAACAGGGCTGTCAGGCGGTTGGGAACTAGGTGTTTTACTCATAGCCACACCCCTAGTCCCCAACGTCGAATAAGTAATGGAGGAGTGTTTGTTGAATGAATGAGTGAGCAGGCAGGTAGCTAGCGGCAAGGACTTTTGGAACGGCTTTCTTCAAAGAATGACTCCAAGGCCAGCCCCAAAATGCCCGGCGGAACCTCCATCTCCCCAGAGCCAGGAAACAAGTTCTCAGGGGAAGCTGTGGCACCCCCTCTAGTTCCGGAAGCCCCCCTCTCACCTTGGCTGGAAGACAGAAGACCTTGATGAGCTTGTGGAGACGTGAAATAGGACATGGCTGCCCCAAAGCCCCCTTTTGTGAGGGAACAGTCACCCGCCTCCTCTCCTACCCTTTCCACCATTCTAGAATGTCGCTTCATAGTCCTTCCCCTGTACACCTGGAACCCACCTCACAGCACTGACCTGTTTATTCTAGAACCTGTATATGACAATGGGATGAGGTTAAAAGAGCACTGGACTAGGGACTGGACATTCTAGGTTCTTACCTCTATCTTAGGTGAGTCACTGAGACAGTTTTCTTCCCTGACCTCCTCCTCTAAAGTGGGAGTAATGGCTGCCCACCACCTCACCAGGAGTTGTGAGGATTAAATGAGCTTGTTTGTATGGAAGTGAATGATCAGAGAAACAAACAAAGGAGGTGAGTGTTTTGTGCTCTGCAGTATGAGAGAAGGAATTTGCTGTGTGACTTTGGAATACATTCCCATCTCTGGGCTCCAGTTTCCCATCTGCAAAATGAAATCGTTGGTCTGGGGGACACTGGGTCTAACATTAAATTCTCTTGGGAGCTTTTAGAAACACTGATGCCCAGCTTCATCCCAGGCTAATTAAATCAGAATCCCAGGGTCAGACCCAGTTATCAGTATTTTTCAAAGTTCTTTAAGTGGTTATAATATATGCCAAAGTCAAGACCTCTGTTTTAGAGGAATGCTTCTCAATTCTGACTGTACATTAGAATCTCCAAGCCATTTTGGGGCGCCTGGGTGGCTCAGTCAGTTAAGCATCTGACTTTGGCTCAGGTCATGATCTCACAGTTCGTGGGTTCAAGCCCTGTGTCGGACTCTGTGCTGCCAGCTAGCTCAGAGCCTGGAGCCTGTTGATACTGTATCTCCCTCTCTCTCTGACCCTCCACTGCTCACGCAGTCTCTCTCTCTCTGTCAGCAATAAATAAAAAAAACATTAAAAAAAAAAAAAAAAAGAATCTCCAAGCCGTTCTTACAGAAGAATGATGTCTAGGCCTAATCCTCTGATAAATGGAATGAGAATCTCTGGAGATGGGGTTCAGGGTATCAGCTCTCTAGGTATCCCAGAGAGGCCAAGCACCACTGGTCTAGGTGATGTCTAAAATGCTCTCTCTTGGGGTGCCTGGGTGGCTCAGTCCGTTAGGCGCCCCCGACTCTTGGTTTTGATTTTGGTTCGAGTCATGATTTCATGATTCGTGAGTTCAAACCCAGCATCGGGCTCCGTGCTGACTGTGGAGCCTGCTTGGGATTCTCTTCCTCCCTCTCTGCCCCTTCCCTGTTCGTTCTCTCTCTCTCTCTCTCTCTCTTTTTAATGTTTTATTTATTTCTAGGAGAGAGAGACAGCGCAAGCAGGGGAGGGCCAGAGAGAGAGGGACTCACAGACTGAAACAGGCTCCAGGCTCTGAGCTGGCAGTCAGCACAGACCCCGACGCGGGGCTCGAACCCACAAACCGCGAGATCATGACCTAAGCAAAAGTTGGACGCTTAACCGACTAAGCCACCCAGGTGCCCCTCTCTCTCTTAAAAAAAATAAAATAAAAAATAAAATGCTCTCTCTTGCTCTGACCTGCTGATCCGCAGTGATCCTAAAAAGTGCCCCTCACAGGCTTCCAGGACAAGGAGATCCTCCAATGATCAGTGTCAGCATCGCTGTGTTTATTTCCCGGCCTGGTTGGCAGCGGTACGGCCAGCTTCAGACCAGCCACAGCTCCAGGGCCAGGGCATGCTCCTGGGGCCCTGTCCCAGGGTGGCTGCAGCCCTTTACTCATACTTGCAGAAATCCTTAAGCCCTTTCGGCAGGTGGAGCCCATCAATGGCCAGCCGGTGCACCACACTCCTCTGGATGACCAGGCGGCACAGAGTCTGCAGGGATGGCACTGTGGAAAGAAGGCTGTCAAAGGCAAACTGAACTTGAGGCTGAGACCTAAAAGGTCTAGGTCTTGCTTCTCCCTTTGCCAACTTGGGCAAGTCCCCTCTGCTCAGGCCCAGCCTGAGTCATGGGGCTGTTCACATGGTCGAGATAAGCACCTCTTTCAAAACTTTGACATTGCTGCAGCCCTGTTTCTATTTTAACCTTCCTTAGAGCCTCTGGGGATACACGTAGTGCCCCTGTACTCCATGCTCGATTCACCTATGCTCACCCAGCCTCCAGCACAGGCCTGACACACAGTGGGTTCTAGTTCAGTGAATTCGTAAAATGATCACAGGTATAAATAAAGAGCTTAGCAGGGCTATAAAGGACCAGACCTCAGGCTTAGAACGCTCTTAATCCGGGGCCTACGATGCCTTTAAACTGGTTTGCCCAAATTGAGGAGCATTTGTCTAATAAAAGAGCACACGATTTCCAAAGCAGCCTGGGTGTAAAGTCAGTTTAGGATTCCTGCCCTAGGGATTCTAGGTTAATGCAGAAAATACTGGCAAAGCCAGCATTCCTAGTCCATCACAACTGAGATGGCTAACCTGAGACCCAGCGCCAGGGAGTGACTTGTCCAAGATCACAAGCAGAGGCATAATTGGAAATTAGATCCCCCAACTTCGAAAGGAATGCTGGACAAAGCCTTGCTAGCTAGCTTGGGAGTCCTGGCAAGTTCCCGTCCCCACGCCGGGCCAGGAGAGGTCGCTGCCCAGGGGGAGGGATACCTACAGCCATACTCGAGCTGGACCAGGCGCACGCTCTTGGTGGAGGCAAACACGTCCACCACCGCGTAGAGGGGCTGGGCGGCTGGCAGCCCCCGGGCGCTGGGGCCCATGTCCTCGCCGTTGATGACGATGTGCATGTCTGCCGTGCCGTCCGGGCGCGGGCAGAAAAGAACGCCCAGGCGGCTGCGGCGCGCGGTCGGAGGCAGCACGTTCAGCTCATACAGCTGATCCAAGAGGTGGCTGTAGAGCCCAGGCCGGCTGCGGCCCACCAGGCGGTCGCGGGGAATACGAAACTGCTCAATGCACAGATAGGGTTCCACCAGGAGGGCTGGGGGGCGGCTGGGGACTGGTGCCTCTGCCTCTGGGCGGTCCTCCCGGGGCACGCGGTTGTGATGACGCGTGATGGCAAAGACCCAGGTGTGGCCGAGGCTCACCAGGTCGGGCAGCGAAAACTCGGGCACCGCGGCCAGAGAGGCGGGGTCTAGCGCAGTCAGGCCGAGGCGCAGGTGTCCGCACCAGCCCAGTTCTTTCTCCTCGATCTCGACCAAGAATACCTGGCCCGGGGCCAGCGGCTCGCGACTGAAGCACAGGCCGTGAGCGAAACTCTCCACGCGTGTGGCCCGTGTCCCGGAGGGGTCCACGCGGATGTTGGCACCATGCACCGGGTGGAAGCGGGTAGGAGGGGGCTCGGGACGCGCTGGTCTCCAGGGCGCACCCAAGTCCACGGGCTCGGAGACAGCAGCCATCTCCCAGCCGTGAGACAGGCCAGCGGGCGCTGGGGGCTATTTTGGGCTGCGAGCTCAGAGAGTGACCGCGGGGGCACCATGTAAGGTATCCCTCCCACCCCACCCCCCACTCCCTTCCCGGAGGCTCTGCCCGGGGGTCCTAGCGCCGCTCGCTCAGCCATCGCGTCAGGACCGGGGCCCCCGGGAGGCCGGGGGATCCTGGCCGCCTACATTAGGATCATCCGATGGCTGGCACCCGCGACACAACCTGAGAAGCACGCGGACTCCGACCCAGCGCCGGCCGCCTCCGCCAGCGTCCCCAGGGTCCCCGGAGACCTGAGAGGCGCCAGAGGAAGCCTGTCACGTGACGCCGGCACCCATGTGACTCGGGCTCCACATGACTTCCCGAGGCCGAGCCCCTCCTGGAGAACAAGGACGCAGGGGAGCCGAGGTGAGGCCGCTCCCGAGGCTGGAGAGGACCCGCAGTCCTGGGCGGCGCGGCGGGTGGGCCCTGGGGCCGGGCCGGGGGCAGGGGGGCTCCTCACGCCGCCGCGGCGCCACCTCCTCAGTGGAGCGATCGCAGTGGAGCGAAGAGGAGCGAGGGAACTCGGAAACAGTCGGCCCCACTTCCTCCCGCAGATGGTCCGAGCCGCGCTGTCGCCGCTGTGGCTGCTGCTGCTGCTGCTGCCCTGGGCACCCCCGGGCCAGGCAGCGCCGGAGGCGGACGAGATCCAGTGCCTGCCCGGGCTGGCCAAGCAGCCAGCTTTCCGCCAGTACTCCGGCTACCTCCGCGGCTCCGGCTCCAAGCACCTCCACTACTGGTCTGGGCCCCCCACCCAGTCCCGGGCGGGGAGGTGACGGGGCGCGGGGTGGGGGAGGGTCCGAAGACCCCCCCCCAAGGGAGCCTAGGAGCAGGGAGCGCCGGGAGGGGCCTCTCCGCCTGCGCCCACCCTGCTCTGCCTCCCCTCCCAGGTTTGTGGAATCCCAGAAGGATCCCAAGAGCAGCCCTGTGGTGCTTTGGCTCAACGGAGGGCCCGGCTGCAGCTCCTTAGACGGCTTCCTCACGGAGCACGGCCCCTTCCTGGTGAGTGGAAAGCCACTCTCTGTCCCCTAACCAGGAGGGGAAACATTCCTAAAGGAAAGGGCCGCCGAGGAGGGCGAACAGGACTCGGAGGATTTGATTTCCCTAAGGGCGCCCCTTTCCTGAACCTGGGTTTCCTCATCTGTACCATTGGCTTGACTGTCTGTACCTTTCAGGGGTTTTGCCCAAATGTGAAGTGCCCTGCACGGTAGCCCTTCCCTTGCATCCGGTTAGCCCTTGGGACTTAGCCATCTCTTTCCTCCTCAGGTGCAGCCAGATGGTGCCACCCTGGAGTACAACCCCTATTCCTGGAACCTGGTATAGCTGGACCGGGGGCCTGTGGGGGTGTCTGAGCCCTTGGATGGGTCAGGGATTCTTCTTCATTTCGTTTCCTCCTCCTCTCTAGATTGCCAATGTATTGTATCTTGAGTCCCCAGCTGGGGTGGGCTTCTCCTACTCTGATGACAAGTCTTATGCAACCAATGACACCGAGGTGAGTCCAGTACCTGCCCATGTGCCCCAGCCTCCCTGGTTCTCTAAAGGTAGCAAGACCCGGGAGGGCAAGAGCGTGGTGGCCTTGGAGTCCGGATTTTGGCTCTATCACATGCTATGTGTGGTCTTGGCCAAGCCACTTCCTCTTGCTCCAAGGGGGTGGTTGCCATTATCGCAGAGTCTTTCCAGCTCAAATGCCAAAGCCTTTTGATTCTCTCCTTCTCTTTTCCCTAGGTCGCCCAGAGTAATTTTGAGGCCCTTAAGGATTTCTTCCGCCTCTTCCCGGAGTACAAGGACAATGAGCTTTTCCTGACCGGAGAGAGCTATGCCGGCATTTACATCCCCACGCTGGCAGTGCTGGTCATGCAGGATCCCAGCATGAACCTGCAGGTACAGGGCCGCTGCAGGAGCGAAGAGACGCAGCTTGTCATGGCCTCGTGGTTGGCAAAGTCAAAGAGGCCATTTGCTCAGTCCAACCTGGTCCCCTTTATAACATGCTTGCCACTGGGTGGCCTGTGTCTGCTCATGTGCCTCCCACAACAGGAAGCTCACCTGTCAGACAGCCAGCTCTGTTCTTTGCTTCAAGTGGCCTCCCCACAAACCACCTTGCATTTCAGCTTCCAGATTGCTGAAGGTCTGGGTGTAGTCAGGGGAGGCTCCCCCATGCCTCCAGATGACCTGAATGCCCTGGGTGTTTCACAGGGGCTGGCTGTGGGCAACGGACTCTCCTCCTACGAGCAGAATGACAACTCCCTGGTCTATTTCGCCTACTACCATGGCCTTCTTGGGAACAGGTACTGGAAGGGGGAGTTGGGCAATCTCCAGGGTGGGGCAAGTCTTGAGATCTCAGGTGTGCCCTCCAGGCACATGATATCCCAGGCCCTACCCTGGTTTATGAGCAGGAGGTAGGGGCTGGGATTGCCAGAAGTGTCTGGTGCTGAAAGGCCAAAGAAAGTAGACCAGAACTTAAATGGGCTAAGGAGGGCTGGCTGTGTGGCCCCAGAGCAGCTAGGTTCGCAACCTACATACCATCCCCTGTGATCTGTTTCCTCATTGGCCGGGGTCAGGTGTTGTGGCGGCGGGGGGGGGGGGGGGGGGGGGGGGGGGGGGGGGGGGGGGTTGGAGGGAGAAGGTGGGAGGCCCACCTTGGGCCTGAACACTTTCATGCGTCTCCTGCAGGCTCTGGTCTTCTCTCCAGACCCACTGCTGCTCTCAGAACAAGTGTAACTTCTACGACAATACAGACCCAGAATGCGTGACCAATGTGAGGTTCTGCCGCCCAACCTGGGTCACCCCTGCGACCCCTGGCCCTGAGAAAAGGACCATATCCCCTCCTTGGGGACCCCCTGACCCCATCCCCTATAGCTTTCCTGTCCTGCCTCCTCCGACATCTGATGTTCTCTGGGACGCGTCTAGGGATGGATTCCCACCACACCACTACTTCCTGTGACTTTCTAGGCAAATCCTATAACCCTGTGAGGGAAAGGATCTTGCTCTTGTTGGGCATCTCTGTGCCAGACACTGGGCTGAACTATGTCAACATATATTATTTAATCTTCAAGATCCTCCCTTAAGGGAGATCGTATCGTCCACATTTTCCAGAAGAGAAAACCGAGGCCAAGAACGTTAAAGTCACTCGCCTGAAGTCACAGTGCTAGGAAGTAGCGGCACTAGGCTCTGGACCCAGGTCTGACAGATTTCTTCCGCTGAGCCTCAGTTTCCCTACCTGTAGAAAAAAGCGGGAGAAGGGTAACGACAAGAAGTAAAGTAGGAGAGCGGCAAATCTTAGGATAGGCTGGTGAGATCGGGGGGAGGCCAGGAGTCCGTGAAGCACGGTGGCTCTGTGTGTCATTGCAGCTGCAGGAAGTGTCCCGCATCGTGAGCAGCTCCGGCCTCAACATTTACAACCTCTACGCCCCATGTGCTGGGGGTGTGCCTGGCCACTTAAGGTAGGCCCCGCCGTGTGCCCTGGGGGTCCGTCGCAGCCCCCATCTGGAGGCTGAGGCACCTGTCCCCTACTTCGCTTGCAGGTATGAGAAGGACGCTGTTGTGCTCCATGATTTGGGCAACATCTTCACTCGCCTGCCGCTAAAGCGGACATGGCATCAGGTGTGCAGGAAGAGCATGGGCTTCCTCCTGGGGTCGGGAGGGGCGGGGAGGGGAGGAGGGGGGAGGTGGGGCACGGGGAAGCCAAGACCCTGACCTCTGTCTGTGCCCCCAGGCGCTGCTGCGTTCTGGGGAACGGGTACGCATGGACCCCCCCTGCACCAACACCACAGCCGCCTCCACCTACCTCAACAACCCCTACGTGCGGAAGGCCCTCCACATCCCTGAGCAGCTTCCCCACTGGGACATGTGCAAGTGAGGCTTTGTGGCCAGCCGTGGCCCCGGGTGTGGCAGGCGCTCAGGGCTCCTGGGTATCAGAAAGGTTCTGCAGAATCCCTTGGCTCGGGTTTCTCGTGGGGGCCCTCCAGGCACTCAGGGTGTGACAGGGTCTTGTGCAGGCTGTTTAACCCCTAAAGTGATTGATCTTTAGCCAGTTCATTCTTAAATGGCCTCCTGGGCTGGTCAAATAGTGATTTACTCCCCTGGCGTTCCATGAATAGACAAACGCTCTCCCCTACCCCCACTTCCACATAGTCCTCAGCTGCAGGGATCTCCTGTGACCCACATGAGTCAAAGGGAGCCGCCTGGGACAGCAGGGGCCACTCAGGTCCATCCCGATTGGTCAGTGCCCCCACCCCTACTGCTGTTCCGGGCTGTGGTTCTCACACCGGTGGGCTCCTGCACACTAAATGCCAGCTGCAAACCCATCCCTGAATGTTCCTGTATACGTTTCCGGACCGGGGTGGGTTGAGGATCTCTGACTCCTAGCCCGTCCTCCCCTCCACCTCCCCCCATCCACGTAGGTCTTAGAGAGATGACACGCCTGAGGAGGGGACCGAATCCCAACTGGGCCTCCTAGGCTGGGGCTTGGAGGTAGGAAGGGCAGGAGAGGAGGTCTGATCTGTCTCTTTCTCTCCCTCTCCCTGGGGCCTGTGCACGTACTCCCGCAGCTTCCTGGTGAATATCCAGTACCGCCGTCTCTACCAAAGCATGCAGACCCAGTACCTTAAGCTGCTCACCACACAGGTGAGTGGGAGCCGCATAGCGAGCTCTGCCAGCAGCCTCAGGGCCCTGGAGCCCTGAGGACAGGACCCTGCAGCAGGACAAGGCGGGGCCCGCTTTAGAGTGCCACTCTGGCCACAGGGAGCTGAAACTCCAAGAAACGAAGTCCGGTGATTGGCAGGGTCACGATTTGAACATGGCTCTGTCCCCACCCCACACTGCTGTTACTGGAGCCTTCATGAGCCAAGGAGCTTTTAGGTGGAGAAGAGCTAGTGAGAACACGTTGCAAAGGAGCAAATGGAGGTCCAGGTGGGAGAGGGCCTTGTCCAAGGTCATCTAGGAGACCCTGACAGAGCCAGGTTAGGACCAGGTTCTCTACAACACAATGGTTAGAGCATAAGCTCTAGGGTCAGATCGCCTGTGTGCACGTCCCTCCACTATCCATGTGTCCCTGGGCAAGCTTCTCGCAGCTTGAGACTTGGTTTCTCCACCTGTAAAATGGGGTTAATAATGGTATTTACTTGCATAGGTAAAGCATTTAGTAAGACTGGCCATGTAAGAAACAGTCAGAAAACAGGAGCGTTTCCTGCTTTGTGCTATTTAGCAAGGCCCCTTGCATTCCCTCAGAGAGTAGGGCTTTTACCAGGGAAGGGCTGGGGCCTGGGCTCATTCCACACCCTCCCATTTCCCCCCCTGCTCTGCTCCAGAAATACCGGATCCTGCTCTATAACGGAGATGTGGACATGGCCTGCAATTTCATGGGGGATGAGTGGTTTGTGGATTCCCTCAACCAGAAGGTAAGGCCAAGATCTGTCTCTGGGGTGAGGCCGGGTGCAGGCATAGAGCAGCTGTGCCTGGCGCTTGGCTCTGGCAGACAGAGAGGACAAACCTGGGAGAGTTCGGGCCCCTGAGGTCCTGCTGGCAGCCGTGAGCAAGATTCAGGGGCGGCCACAGGCTGCTAAGGCTTTCCCGGTGGGGCAGATGGAGGTCCAGCGCCGGCCCTGGTTAGTGGACTACGGGGACAGCGGGGAGCAGATCGCTGGCTTCGTGAAGGAGTTCTCCCACATCGCCTTTCTCACCATCAAGGTAGGGCCTGGGGCTGGCGAGGGCTACCTGGCTGGAGGGGAGGGGGCAGGCCCCACCCGTCCTCTCCTTCTGGCTCCCTTTCACACCCGCTTACCATATGGCCCCGTAAGGGCAAGTGCTCTGGGCAGCGTGGGAAGAATGCAGGGCTTGGGAGAAGAGGAAGGTCACTGGCTGAGGGGACCCAGGATGGAGGGGCAGGGCTTACACAAGAAGGGGATCTCACAGAGCTTTGCTCCTAGGGCGCTGGACACATGGTCCCCACCGACAAGCCCCAGGCTGCCCTCACCATGTTCTCCCGCTTCCTGAATAAGCAGCCATACTGACGACCTCGGAGACCAGTCCCCTTCGGCCTGATCCAGCCCCTCTTTCCCGCCCCTTTATGCAAAATGGGAGCCCCACCTTTATGCAAAATGCCCCTGTGGGGCAGGTCCCTGCCTCCAGAACCTCTCCCCCCCCCCCCCCCCCCCCCCCCCCCCCCCCCCCCCCCCCCCGTCCCACCCCTGCCTCCTTCACAGCCTTCTGCCTCCCAGACCAGGCCCCCAGTGCCTCACACAGACAGCCTGGGGGAGTTAGCACTTTATTCCTGACTGGGGCGGGGCCTGGCCCCCTCCCTTAATGCACTGGAACACAGCCAAGCTCAGGACAGCCCACGGAGGGTAGGGTGGACGGACTAATTGACGGATTGAGTGTGATTATGGAATTAAATTGGGTACAGCTTAAAACCCCGTCTTCTCTGTGGCACTGGGGGTTAGAGAGGAAGCTAAAGGCTGGGAGGGGCTGAAGGAGGGGCTGAGGGGGTTGGAGTCCTGAATGCCCCTGCCAGGGTGGGGTGGAGGGCTCAGGCAGCCGTCATGGCAGGCGGTGGGACGCTGGGTGCCCAGGTGTTGCTGGTGGCGGCAGGCCGGTTCTTCTCAATCACCTCTCGCAGCCCTTTGGCAAAGTGGAGGTCAGCCCCGATGGTGAGGAAGCCCTGTGCAGTGGGGCAGAGAGGGGAGTCCATTCGTTCCATTACAGAGGCCAAAGATGAAAGATCGAGACAGGCCCTTGGCCTTGAAGGGTTCTCGATCTACTGGGAGAGGAGCAGCAAAGAATTCCTAACTCCGGCGAAGGGTGTGAAAGAGGCTGCAGGGCATGTCCTTTTGGGGGTCAAGGAGGGCATCTGAGGAGATGGCCTCTTAGCTGTTGAAGGGGGACCCAGGAAGTGTTACAAGGTGAGGACACAGCCTGTGCGGAGGGCTGGAGACGTCTGATGGAAGATTAAACTGGTGGTGACAGTTGATAAGGGAGGGGCTGGGATCCAGCAGCAGAGGGAGGACAGGGTCATGAAGTGGGGGGAAGGCTCTGCCCACCCCCACTCACCGCATGGTTGGTCACCACCTCGCGCACGAAGTTGATGCCCTCGGGTAGTGGGATCTGCACCCCTCGCCACATCCGCTCTGTAGGTGGGAGCAGCTGGCTCAGCCTGGGTCCACCCAGCTCCCCTCCTCCCCCCTTCTCCCTCCTGTCCCCAGCCCTACCATTGAGCATGGGCATCACCCCAATCTGCAGCATGGTCTTCAGAGGGGCCTGCAGCGGGATCAGCTGGGAGGGAGGAGGCAGGAAGTCAGGGCGGCCAGCAGGAAGTAGACCTGCCTGAGCCGCCCAGTCCCGGCCCCCTCTCCACCCCCAACTCACTGCCAGCGACTCCAGCGCGGACTGGTTCGAGTAGATTCGGAACCTGGGGGAGACAAGTGTCCAGTGGGCACAAACCCTGGAAGTGCCCTTTCCTCAGGCCACCCAGGCCTACCCGCCAGAAGCCCCTGACTCTCAGCCTCCAATGTTCCCACCTACACACCTGCCCGGGGGCCCCGTTCCAGGTGTGCATCCTTGGGTGAGTCATTTCTCCCCCTTTGGGTTCCTGTTTTCCAAAGCTGCTACTTTCAACGTGCTGAGCACTTCGTCTATGCCAGACTTGTGCTGACGGCTTTGCGTATATTGTTTGTGTTTATATAACAGAACTTACAGAACTTCCTCCCTACCGGACACTAAGCATGTTACAGAAAATTAAGTATCACTAAGATATTTTAAAATGCAACTGACTTAATCCTCATAAGAACCCAAGAAGTAGGCACCATTAAACAGTTTGCACTTTTTAGACGCGGCAGATCAAGCCTAGAGAGGTTAAGTGACTTGTCTGAGGTGTCACAGCTGGTAAAAGGCAGAATCTGCCCCTAGAATCTAGGTTCTTAACTGCTGCCCTGCAGTATCTAATTTAAGCCCGAGGCCACTGCTGTCCGGAAGCACTTTCTCCAGAATGTTGTACATTTGCACTTGCTGCATAGGATCCACTGTGTCTAGCAGCACAGACAGCACAGCCTTAGAAGGTGGATGCTACCTTCCCCTACATTTAGTCTGTGAAGGAAAGGAAGCTTAGAAAGATAAAGGGACTCTTCTCAAGATCAGAAAAGTTGTGCTGAGGTTTCTGCCTGAACCCATGTTTGTTTGGCTCTTTGCTGTGTGACCAAGGGCATGTCCTTTAACCTTGCTGGGCCAGTTTGGTCATCTCCTAATATCAGCTCTGCCTCTCTCAGTCATAAGAGAAGGCAGAGAAGTTACCGTTGAATGAATTGTATTTGTTATGCATTCACACAGGCCCTAGCTCTCCAGTGGCTGTAGATCTGAGTAAATTTCAGCCACCCCCCCCCCCCCGCCTTGTTGGGCAGGTGCAATTAACCTGAAGACACTGAGGTTCAGGGAGGTTAAGGGCTCACCCGAAACCTTGGCCATCTGCTTACCGGCGCAGGTCCAGCTGGACGCGTAGCGCCTTTCCCCGGAGTGCCACCTTGGCGCTGAGACGGGTGTCCTGGGGGCAAGGAGGTGGGAGGGAGCTGGTTACTGACCCAAAGGGTCCGCAGCCCACTTCTCCCTGACCCTCAGTAGCCCCTCATCTGGTGCCCGCACCATAATCATGCTGGATAGCTGGACCTCAGGCTGGTCAGACGGGACCAGGGCGATGGTGACACTTGCGGTGACAGAGACGGTGGTACCCGAGGGCTTGATGGTGCAGCGAGGTGGGGCCAGGACCCGTAGCTCCAGCTTCAGCGGGGAGTCAATCACCGCTGGGCTCTGGCGACAAAGTAGGGAGGGTGGGTCAAAACCCAGATCTGTTCCCTGATGAGCCCCTGGAGGAGGGGAGGGCGGGCTCAGGTTCGGCCTGCCGGGCGCCCAGACACGCAAATATGAAGAGTGGTGTGGCTTCCCAGACCCTCCAGAACTGAGTCCAGCCTCTGTGCCTTTGCTCACACAAGGGAATGTCTCCTTCTAGGAATGTCTCCTTTTTCTGCTTTCCTGAGCTCTTGGTCCTGGGGATCCATCTTCAACCGGACTCCCCTGAGACAGTGTTTGCATCAAATATCCTGCCCGGCTCTCACCCTATTTCCTCTCTAACCTCCTGTGTTCTTGGCCCCCTAGGCACTACTTCACCTGTGTTAGCTCTTCGAAACCTCTCAGTGACCATGCGAGGCAGCTATTCTACTCGTTTTTGAGATGGGAGAGTTGAGGCACAGAGAGGTTAAGTACTTGTCCAAGGTTATGTAGTCCACCAATTGCAGAACCTGGGATTCAAATCCAGGCAGTCAGGTAAGAGAGTCCACGCTTTTACTCGCGCTTAGCCATCAGGTTGGTGGAGCCGATGGTGCCGACAGCAATGACCATAGCAGTGGGGGAGTGTTTCCTGAGCGCTTACTCTGTACCAGGTGCTGTTCTAGTCCCTTACCATGAGTTGATTCAGCTAATACTCCCGCCAGCTCTGTGAGGTTGCACAGTGTATAGGAAATTAAGGGCAAGTCCTTTAACAATCACTAAGATACTTTTTATATTTTGAACTTCCACCCCTTTTCCATTAAACAAGGGAAAATAAGCAAGAAAAAAAAAATACATCGGGGCATCTAGCTAGCTTTGTTGGTAGAGCATGTGACTCTTAACCTTGGGGTTGTGAGTTCAAGCCCCACAGAGGGCATAGAGATTATTTAAAAATTTAATTCATTAATGGAGCGCCTGGGTGGCTTAGTCGGTTGGGCGTCCGACTTTCGCTTGGGTCATGATCTCACGGTTCGTGGGTTCGAGCCCCGTGTCAGGCTCTGTGCTGACTGCCAGCTCAGAGCCTGGAGCCTGTTTCAGTCTGTGACTCCCTCTCTCTCTGACCTTTCCCTGCTCACACTGTCTCTCTCTCTCTCGCCTAGAAATAAATAAAAAAACATTTAAAAAAATTTAATTCATTAAAAAAAAATACATCAGTCAGTGTTAAAGCCCCTACACCTATAGAGCCTGGGTCTCAGCCCGTCCTGTGGCTTCATGAAGACCAGGAAGTAGCAAGGGCCCTTCACAGACTTGGAAATGACCTTGACAAATAAGAGGACTTGGTCACAGGCAGGAGGCCAGGCCTTCTGTCTATTCCACAGTGGCCTGGCGGGGTGGGGGGGAGCCTCTGCCTGGGTACCTCCACCGTCCCCTCGCTGGTCTGCAGGTGCTATGCCCTCCCACGCTGGCCTTGTTCCCACCTCCTGCCCACACTCACCAGCAGAACGATGCTCCCAAAGTAGGTGGCCCTCAGCAGCATGTCCAGATCGTGGGGTACCTGGGTAGGGAAATTGGGGGTGGGGTGGGTCATCAGGAGTCCTATGATGGGGCTCCTCTGGCCCATCTCACAGACAGGCCCAGGCATACCTTGTCTCCCACCAGTGACAGCTTCAGGGCCCCTGCCCGGAAGTAGCTCTCCATGGCAGAGTCGAAGAAGAACTCAGAGAAGGCCACGTATACCATCCGCTCCTCCTCTCGCAATTGGGGCTCAACCGCACGGTTGGGCAAGCTCCAGTTGCCCTCCACCAGTGGAAAGAAGGCCCCCTGCAGTTGGGGGATCAGGGTCAAGGCCAAGGCAGACTGGCCCAGCACCCAGATGTCCTGACGCCCTGTGGCAGGCACTGTGAGGGGTGGTAGGGGTCAGACCCAGCTGCTGTCCTTAGAGGAGTCATTAGCACAATTTTTTTTAATGTTTATTTTTGAGAGAGAGAGAGACAGAGCATGAGTGGGGGAGGGGCAGAGAAAGAGAAGGAGACAGTCTGAAGCAGACTGAGCCGTCAGCACAGAGCCCTACCGGGGGCTCGAACACATGAACCGCGAGATCATGACCTGAGCTGAAGTCAGATGCTTAGGCAACTGAGCCACCCCAGCACAATTAAGTTTTATTAAGTAATCTCCACACCCAGTTTTGGACTTGGACCCATGACCCTGAGATCAAGAGCTGCATGCTCCTCCCACTGAGCCAGCCAGGTGCCCTCATTAGCACAATTTCTAAAGCATCCAGAGGGCCCCTTCAAGGGAGCACTCCCATCAGACTGGAGAAGGGAAGCTCAGGAAAGGGTTCAAGAGGAGGTGGCATTTCAGTGGGCCTTGAATGATATAATAATAGCTGCTGCTTACATCTTACATAGTAATTCTTCCATG